ATAATATTTCAGTGGACCACAAGTCACGACTTACTCTCTCCGAGATTGCCGTGGTGGTAAGAAAATGATTACCCAGAGGGACAATTTCCGTTTACTGGACGCCAGGGGACATTGATGGGGCGTTTTCTAGAGTTTTTTTTTGGTTTATAAACGTTTTCTCTCGCATCCGGACAAATGTCCGAACGCATTATATGCATGTGTGTGTGCGAGTTTGGGTTAAAGACCCACTCTTGCCCACACACACGCATTGCACATTCATATAACAATCGATAAGTGTACAATATTGAGTTTCGAACGTGTGGAGTAGTGGTGTTCGCAGTATGTGCTGTGTAGTATGTACTTATATAATCTATGTTACGGTAAAAGCTAGATTACTATTAAGTTGAACTCATAGATTTAACTTTATAGTAAATACTACGATTTGCTGATTATACTGGGTATAAAAGGTGAAATATACATTTTTCTTTTGGCTTTCTTTTTGTAAATCCTAGGATAGTATATGATGTGCGAATCTTTTAATAAAGTAAGCATCATTTTATTTTACTAGTCCAGATCATAGACAATTAATGATTGTACATTCATCAGGAAGGTTTAGATATCTGTTAAATATTATTGAAGATGAAATCAATACAAACAAATATAAAAACATCAATTATTGTAGTTATTTATTTTTATAAGAAAATAGTTACAGCAATTGCATTCTGTACCAGCTACATTGTAGCCGATGTAAGTACAACATGTTTTCGGTGACATAAAATTGTTTTTTTTTTGGCAGTCATGCCTATTGTTTAAGTTATGAAAGCTGACTTACAGCTTGACGCACACTTGTAGGAGTATTAAGAATACGAGATCAAATTAAAGATGAAATTAAAACACTTATCTTTGCATAAGGTAGGTTAAATTTATTTTTGATAAAAACAAATCTTATTTATTATTATACTATAATACTAGCTGACCAATGTCCAAGAAACCATTTTACCACTTGAATTTAAATTGTGTTTTTCTGTATATTAAAATGGAAGTCGAATATGGGGAGTAGATTCATAATGCTTGATGCGTATAAATAACACTGATTCGTATATTGAACTTTTGTAAAGGGCATCACATAATTGTTAGTATTTATGATAATAATATTATAATTTGTATATGGCTTTAAAATAAATTTAATATACATTTATTTTTATCAATGTAATCAATAGTTTGGATGTTGTATCTCTATAAACTCTAAAATTAAACAAGCGCTTCTGAAACGGAGAGAAAGCTTCCACTTAAATAACTATTAACAAATATTTGTGTTATTTACTTATGACTAATGATAATGTAGTTTACACTTCAATACTTGAATGTCAAAATTAATAAATCATTATAATATAAATCAGTATACCTATATATAATATATATTATAGAATATAGGTGGAAGGTAATACTGTAAATTGTAATAAGTACCTATATCATTGTATAAATTAGAAAAAAGGTATGGGTAAAATCTTGGAGTCATATATGATATAATATTTTTTAAATGAATAGGTATGCATGTACTAGGTACCTATTGATATAACATTTATGAAGATGTCTATTTTTTCAATCTGAAGATATCTGGAGCTTATGGATTCAAATAATTGCTTACCTATATTATAATATCTATATACCTAAAAAATATACGATGGGTCAACTTATCTTTAAATCTAAGAGATATTTCAAAATAAAAAATATACAGCGAAAACTCTTTATAACGAAACTCTTTACAATGAAAAACTCTATGCAACGTAGACATCACATAATAATAATTGGTTTTCCTTATAACCCATTAGTCAATTTATTCTCTATAGCTTATTGACGACTATCAATAACGAAACAATATTTTATGTTTATTAATACAATTTACGTGTCTTAAAAATATTAAACGGTTGCCACTTACAAAGTTTTCACTGTATAAACATAATATAAACCTAAATGGGAAAATACCTCATTATGAATATAATATACTTTAAACGGTTGTAGCTATGTTTATTAAATTGTACTACTATAATATCCAGCTTAATCTGAGTATAATAAATAATAATATATACGTTATAAGCTGTATAAAATATCAAATGAATCACAAAAATATACGGTATAGTGTGTTAGTGTGTGTGTGTGTGTGTGTGTGTGTGTGTGTGTGTGTGTGTGTGTGTGTGTGTGTGTGTGTGTGTGTGTGTGTGTGTGTGTGTGTGTGTATGGTTAGATTTTATACTAAATCGTTACTAATAACCAAACCTAAGTGCATTTGAAAATGACACAACGGGGAATTCGAAGAAAAGTAATTTTGGGTAACTAATGGGTCCAAATAATGTCGTTAATTCATTGTGTGTTATATATCGTTTGACTGCACCGAGAGGCGTGGCCGGTACATCCTCTCCCGAATGGCCAAAAGCCATTAAACTTTAACGCTTCAAAACCAACAATGAAATCCCATTGCCTGCAGTTTCAAAAGAACGTACACACGCACACATATATATGTATAAGTATGCGTTTCGAACATCTCAAAAAATATGGATACAACTACATACTATTATTACACACAAAATAATATATTTTGAATACGTACATTGTTGGGGAATATTGTCATGAATACATTATTTTATTACATACAATTATTGTAATAATGCATGTACGTGTCCTAGTCTTAGCATTATTAATATTAGGGTTACTTAGGATCCTTGTGCACTTAAAAATGGTTAAATATGCATCCACATTTGAGCTAAATATAGCAACATTTTTACTAAGAACATAAAATAATCTATTTCAAAATAGTAATGTTTAATTTAATAGTATCTATCTCATAATAGGTAAATGTTGAGATTTATGTATCGCATCATTATGGTTCATCATAAACCGTTTATGACGGTTGACTGATATTTTAAATGTTGGACGTTATTTTTATTTTTAATAAAGTATAAGCTTTAATACCTAATGGATAGTGGAAATCTAATGAGTAATGGGATTAATATTAAAAGCTATAGCTTCGTATTAATGTGCTTGAACATTGTATTGGCTGTTATAGTCATGGTATCATTAATTAAGGGTGATCTACTAGACAATTTCTAGATTATGGCCTAGCTCAAGTTTTGGACATGACATGACAGATGACATAGTTGTGAACTCAGCTTTAATGACTTAGGTAATATATATATTGAAACATTGATTAACCACTATCTATATTCGAGTCCCTCGTATATCACGTATTCACAGAAACACGCTTGGAGTTTAAGTGGTAGCATTGAGGTTTATATCGAATAAACAATATTCTTCACTTACAATTATTCTGCATTTTACCGTAGGAATTATGCAACTACCTTTACCCAATACACAGCCATAAGCATATCTTGTTTATAGAGTAATAAATATTGCACTGAACATTATGGATGCGTTTTATAAAATAATCATACAAAGTAAAAGTGCAAAAACGATATGAGCAAACTATTATTATACGTTTTATAAAATAAAGGTCACTAATATTTTTTGAATGTTAAACTTCTCTCATATACCAAACCTGAAGTGTACAAAATGTATGTAAGTGTAAGTGTATGCAAGATCAATTTCAACTTCGTTTTGTTTTCACACTTTTTTGATTTTATAAGTTTATATATATATTTTTTTTGTACAATATTATATATATATTACAATTTTAAACATTAAACGAGAACTGCTATACTTTATACACTTTTGGATGTGCACATAACATGTGGTGATTGTGATAAATAATTTATATTATATTTACAATGTTTATGCACAAAACTATAATATATAATAATTAATATTTTATATTAAGTTAAAATCTATTTTGCTTATTTATATCTTATAAAAGGTACTTAAGAATAAAAATAGTATAATCAATCACAAATATTATAAAATAACTGATCATTATTTACAATGTATATTCAAAGTTCAAACGTATATATTTATTTATTATGTATATATCGCATGCAATTTTTTATTTTAAGAAAAAGATAGAATAGGATTATAAAAATATTCATGTAGGTACCTACTTTATATATAATACAAATTTACTATTTTGTATACACTATACATATACAATTTAAAACAGACTATGGGTATAGGTACACTTTCTGGTAGGGTGTATTGAATTTAGACAATCAATATTTTTTTGTTTTTACATTCACTTACAATGTTCTAAAAAAATAACCAAAGTTCTAAAATATTACTTATTAGCATGTGATAATAATAAAATAATCTGTATCTAATGTATAAAATGTACTAGGTACCTACCTAAGTTAAAATGATAGCAACTTACATATTATGTACACATACAATGTAAATACATTACATAGGTTGTATGTACAAATATAAAATATAATAAATACATTTATATGGTTCAGGTAGGTAGGTAATCAGATAATACTATAATAGCTTATTATACAGTACAATTTCCTATAGTACGTAATATTTCAATACACAATCTGTGTTAATTCGTTGGTTTTTTACTATATTTTAATTTTTAAAGGAGTTATAAGTTCCTTTTTAAAATATAAATATATAAATTCTCATAGTAGATATTCGCTCAAAAGTTAAATACAGTAAAAAACCAACGTGTACAGTCTTACAGACATAGATAATGTTCTCATTTCTTAACTTTAACTTTTAAGTTTGATTATATTTCAGTTAACTCTCATGTTAATAACAAATTAATGCTTAGCATAAAATGTATTCTTCTGAATGTAAATGTACAGTTCCTATTAAACATTTGTAAGACCTAGATTACACGCCATGCAGATGTGGTGCAGATGCGCTGTTCCCTTACTACAGTTGTGCTGTACAAAAGGAGGTGTTTAGACTGAATTTCATAAAAAAAAACGTAGACTTAGGTGAGAAAAATTTTAATTTTTGAAACGGATTTTGATTCATTAATAAGTTTATTATGGTTTTTACATTTTTTTTTTAAATTACAGCATCAATGACCCAAAAAGGTATTTTTATGTTGTAATTGTTCTGCTGTAATTTATAATTAGGTATACCTAAATAATTATTAAAATCACTTATAAAATAAATTATTAAAATAAAGTAAATACATCTAAACGGTTTTGATGTGTACCCATTCGTAAGAATTATAAATTTCCTATTGGCTATGATAAAAATATATTAATATTAATCTTACAAAATATGTACACAAATTGGAAATAGCAAGGTAGGTGGCACTTACGTATAATATTAGTAAGTCTAAATTTTAAGAAGACACTGAGTAAATTTCCTATTTTAAAAATGTCTAAAATGGAGCTGCCCAAATATTACTTGACAACTACTAAACATAATATTGGTTAGGTAGGTATAGGCGTATAGGTATGTTATTTTACCGTGATTTGTATTTAGATTATTACTATATATTCTTTCATTTCTGTCCAAAGTTGGCTGTTTGTACAATATTATTGTGTACAACAGCTCTATACACTGTGTCTTTTGCACGGTCCGGACCTGTAGACTACAGAATGGCGGATGTATACAATTGCAGCCGACTTTTGATTTTGAAGACCGCATCGCTGCCTCGTCGGAGATGCGCGAAACCCGAAGCGCATTTCTCCAATTGTTGGTGTCGGCTACGTACCACGAACCGGTTGACGTGTACCGGTATGGGCACTACGATTTTTCCCGCTCCACCGCCACCGACAACACCATTTGGGCATTTCGATCGGCCCCGCATCGCGTTCCCGCTGGCGTTGTTCTTTTGGCCATCGTTGCCGCACGCGTTTCCGGACAACAGGCTGGCCTTGACACGTTTCCATTTTGCTCGCCGATTTTGAAACCATATCTTCACCTGCGGATATGGCACACGAGAGAGAAAAAAAAACAATTATGAGCCAGCAATGATATTTTAAAGTATTTTGGGAAACATCGTTGTCGATACTAAGCGCTTAGCACGTTGTACCTCTAATATTTTTAATTAGTGAATTAGTTATAGTTATTAAAATTGAATATATTATGCATTTTTAAAACTTTACAAAAAATTAAAGTTTTAAGCTACACAATAATTTGTCATTTAGATGAATTTTGTTAAAATTTGTACTTAAAAAACTTAAATTTAAACTTTGATTATATATTTTTTTTAAGTTCCATGAGAATAAAAACATTTCATGTAGAACCTTACTAGTAATTTTACATTTTCAAGCTTTTTTACTGAAAGCAAAAATGTTTATCATCATAAATTAAAACTATTTTAATAATTAGATTTATAAATTCAGAGAATTGTCATTTTCCGCTTTATAATGGTTTTCTTAATTCTAACACAAAATTAGGTACTAACAATAGATCATATAGGCCACCATATATACTAGTAAACCATCCTCAAAGTTAAGGATTGAAACTAATTTTCTGCCCCAAAACTTGATGATAGCCACAAAAAAAAAAACTACACACCGTTGAAAAACCAATAAATTCATTACTTCACCCAGAATCTAAAAGTGCTTACCTATTGTTACTTTTATAAGTAGATACTTACATCACATTTTAGGATTTTTTTTTAATTAAACATGGATAAATGTTGGCATATGCAACTTAGCTATATAGTTGTGATTAATCATTAATATCTATGTATAATATTTTTATAAGTAATAGCTAAATATAACTTCAAAGCTTTGTGGCACGGGTTAAAAATTCAACTTGTGTTCATAATCAGTTTTCAATGATTTTTTTAGTCAACGAACTCTTAAATTGGAAAAAAAAAATACCGACGAACGAAAAATAAAGACCACTCTAATGAATAGAGTATATTTTGAATGTTTTGATGCAACCTAATTTGTGTAGTTCTAAAATCTATCTGCATATTAGTGACAAAGATTATCAAGACTATACGATTAAAATGTGCTAAAAAGACGCAATTTAGTGTAACGATATATATATATTATATAAGTACAATATGCAATTTATTTTGATAAAACGTCCCTAAAAACAAGGAGGCACCTACATAAGATTGAATTTATAAAACGTTTGTGTTGTTTCCTGACAATCATAATATTAAAAAACGGATATCCTATGATTATGCTAATTCTGCTACACGACATACATTCCCACTCAAAAGAGGGTGCAGATTGTATAGTATAGTTGTCTGAAGGGTAAACTTTTATTCGTTTTAATACCGGGTGTTCTACGAGGATTTTATTTATACAATTCTAATAGCAGTTATATATAAACAAACTAATGTTATTCAATTTTCATAAATTCTGGTGTTATGAAAAGTTTAAACATCCTATACATTATATATTACATACTGATATGGATTTCTGGAAGAAAAATAGTCAATATTCCGAAAAAAAGCAAATTTATTAGAAGGCGTGATTTTCTAATGTTCACCAAGGGATAATATCACGTATTTCACGTCATATATCGAAATGGATATTTCAGTACATCAAAATTCAGTTGTATACATACCCGTGATTTATAATAAAATAAAATATAATATGGAAACATGAGATGCGTTTTTATTATTTTTATTTTATTTACTTATATTATATGAATAACAAATGTATTTTTACAATATTTGTTTGATATGTACCTACAACTTCAAATTATTTAACTTAGAATAGGTATCATGAATCATGATAGCACAAAAGGAATATAGAAAAGAAAAAAAATATGTATATCATATACAGTGTGTGATTATAAAAAATATGGTTTAATACTTAGTAATAATTTGTAGATTAGCAGTTAGCATATTATAGATAATAATCGATGATTTAAATTAATATTTTGAATTCATTATTTCAATATGTACCTATGTAGAATTCATAAGAGGATTTTTATAAAAATTAAAAAAAAATAATTTTCCCGAAAAATTTGACCGTTTTTTAAATATTTTTTTCAGATAGTTAGTAGTTGAATTCATTCCTATTTTTAATCTCTATTGTATTTTAAGTTTTCTTGTTTTTTAAACGACAAGATAAATTTTTGATTTCATAGGTTCTCCACACCAAAACAAATTTTCTGAGAATTACAATTTATAAAAAATAGACCTCTGAACGAATAGTTAATTAGTTATGTAGACAATTTTAAAATATTTCAAAAAAACTATAACATTATACATACAAATATTTGATAAATGGGCAACTTAGGTAATCGCTCTGCGGCTCTGCTTTGTACGTGCGTAGGTGTCGAGGGGAACCCAACATTAAGTAAGTTATTATAATGAACGTGTTAAATTGCGTAATTTATTAATAAATTATTATTTGAAAATGATTCTGAGTGCGAAGACATTCGTCAGCCTGTATGATTAAGTATATTTTATTATAATATGTATTATATATGTGTATATTATATAATATTACTTCTATAATAATTTATTTTACTATTGTTCATTGTCCGGTTATTGGTATGTAATGCGGTAGGTTGAATTAATTTTTGAGGAAAACGTTGTATATATTATATAATATTATGATAGGTAGTATGTATTTATATCATATACTATTGTTAACTTTCGAGTCAATACCGAATCCCACAGAACTGTGTTAGTAGGTTTGTTGTAGAATAAACAATACCTATGTTTTATTCGAAAATATGTTAATGTACTATTTTAATCAATTATTTTCAAAATGCATAACTCATAAGTCATAATTAATGGTAGACCGCATTTTAAAAATGTATAAAAATGAATTATTATTTAAGTCTATTATAGATGTTTTCCGTTTTTAAAAGTTTCTTGCTTAAAAATTGAAGCTGTTCTTTGTTTACTGATGATAATTTTATATTATTATGGTTTATGAGTCATGACTTTTAGTTTATGATATTAAATAAACAAACTTTTATAAATATATTTATCAATTTACCTAATTTAAACAAAATATATATGCAAAAATGGGGAAAAAGCCCACAAAAAAGTCCTGAAAAAATCTAACGGAAAAAAGAGCAAAAAAATAAACATACCATGGAAATAAAAGTCCACGTGAGTGCCATACATTTGAATTATTTATATTTTTAAAACATTTCGTTAATTATAATTCAAAAAAACATAATACAATAATACAGAGTTATTTAAAATGATACTTCCGATGGCCTCCTATAGGTCACCAGATCTGATGCCATGTGATTATTTCTTTTGGGGATAAAGAGTAAAGTTATAGATTAACGACACTGTGTACAAACCACCATTGCCATCAACTCTAGATGAATTGAAAAATCGAATAATAGCAGCCATGGAGTCAATTACAAATGATATGCTGCAAAAAGTATGGTATAAATTTGACTACCGACTAGATGTTATTCGTGTAACCAAAAGAGCTCACATAGAACATTTATAGATACAGTTAATTAAACTTGACATATTTTTCTTTTATTTAATGTGTAACATATTGTTCTAAACCTAAAAAATAAAATAATATAAGCACTTTAAATCGGATGAATCATTTTGAATGACCCTCTACTTAATAGTACTTACCTACATAATAAAGATAACAGATAATAATCATAGATATTAATAATAACTAGGGCCAACAGTTATATACCCCAAAAATCTATAAAATATGTATACAGTTATGCCCTAAAAATTACCAAAATATGCCCTTAAAATATGCTCTAAAAAAAAATGTTATTGTAAAAAAACGATTAAACGATTAATTTTTTTTATGTATTATACAATTTATACTATAATACAATATTATTGTCAATGAATAATGATTTACAAAGATGTGTGATTTTAAAAAATATTAAAAATTAAAATTAAAGTAACAATAAATAAGTTAAACAAAAATATTAATTAGATTATAAACATTTTAATTTTTACCCGATGTTATTACATTGAACAATTAATGATTTGTATAAGTTTTTAAACAGCATTGAGCGTCGATTGTCCGTTAAGAAATTTTTGTAGCTTGAAAGGGAAGTTCTACATCAACGGATGTAATAGGTGAGTATTTATAATGCAACAAATCGTTGCAGGTCAAATCTTCTGGGATGCCTTCTAACGTGGATACATCACCGGATAATACTTCTGAAATTTTCGTAAGAATACAAAAACCATTATTTTTTTTAAAAACATCTCCACATTTTTCGTTAATATCAGTGCCATTTGTACCACTAACTTGCTTAAAAATTGTCGAATTAATAACGCACCGCACGAATATAAAGGACGACTGATGACTATAATAAGTGCGATAAAATATAATATTATGCAACTGTGAATTCACTGTTAATCACATATTCCTAGAATGCCCCATTTACCATAACGCCAGAACAAACGCAAACATAAACACCTCCTCACTCAAAGACGCACTCGGGCCAGGACAAGAAAAAACCATAACAAATTTCATGTAATTTCTGTTAATTTCAAATGTAAAAAATCAAATTTCCTCTAGCTAAATGTTACCACCAGACATATAAATCATTGTAGGCGAATAAACTTTTGTATTAAAAGCCTTAAATTAATAATAATAAAAAAAAAAAATATTATATTTATCTATATGCGATAATGTTACCGATCTACGGAATTGTTGATCCTAATAATTAGCGATTAAGATTAGATTACCTCTTTTCATAAATGAGCTGAAATACCAATAATAAGGTATACGAGTGAAACAAATTAATATTTTGTAATTCCCGAGTTTTTAAGATCTTAAATAAGCTCCAAAAATATACTAAATGCTAAAATATGCCCTAAAAATGCAAAAATACCATAATATGCAAAAATATGCAAAACACAATTTTGTATTCAGCATCGTTAGGTTATAAAACAAATTTTGGTATAAACTAGCTATTTTTTTGACTAACAAATAGAAATATGCAAATGCATATAAGTGTTGGCCCAAATAATAACTAAAGCATTGAAGCTGATGTTACTAAGATGAAAAGTAAAAAAAAAAAATAGTAGGTCCAATGGTTTGTATCCATTTACTTATATTAAACTTAAGCAACGAACTAATATTGTAGGTATTACCACCAGTTTTTTATTGACTTATATTATTATTTTTATAGTTGCTTCATTTTTGTATAAATGTATTATAATATTATATACCTAAGATTGGCTAAGACTTTAATACCTTTTTTTATTGTAGGTTCTATATTATATCATTAACTACCTAATGACTCATTATAAAACAATTTATAATTATAAATTATAACTTATAACACATTGTTTATTATGTATACATGTGTTCATATTTATGTTTACACTTTCGGTGGTTTTTTTCGTTGGGCTTGATTGTGTGGTGTTTTTTTTCCGTGGTATGATTATTTAATTTTTTTTTGTGCTTTTTTCCGCGATTTGCACCAATATAAGAACCCAACAACCAGAGTCTAGAATATAACATACTATATTATAATATATGATAATATGTTTAATATATTGTGTTACTATTATATACTATGCTTCAAAACTTGTATGTACAATTTGACAACATCTACTCAGGACGTTGGATAGAGTATGACATATGCTTATATTTACATCACATTTCTAACAGCCGTGGCGACATAGTTGATGTATTACTTTGAATAATTGCCTCATACTAAGGGTTTGACATTTGAAGACAGTAAAGTAAAATACGTACACTTGTGTGTATTTTTCTAAGAAACAAAATTAGGAACCGCCATAAGATTAACGGCAAGAAATATAAAAAAGAGGCGTTTTAGTTGTTTGATTATAGTCTGATTAACTATTAAGGGGCTTTAATGGGACAATTTAGACGCTTGGCTTTATTTATTCTGTGCCATTTTTAAAAGCTATTTTATTTTTGAACAAATACATTGTATTTTTTGTCTGTACTTGATATTTTTTTCAAACACCTTTTGAGTTGGTTAGATCTAAAGTCCATAATGTCTTCAATTGTACCTATTTGTTGCTAGAATAATTATATTTGAATCAGTTTTAAAATTACTTATAGCCATGTAGAACACTTCTTTTAACAATGATTATTTATAACGATAGTTTTTAATATTTTAAATTACAAATACATATTATGTATATTTAGATTAAATAATACTTTTATAATTTGCAATGTTCCCATAAAAATTATAAAAAGTTAAACAACTTAAGCTTATGTAACAATGATTAAATTGATAAAAATCAATAAGCTGATTTTAAAATTTAAGTCTCAATCGTAGATACCCTGTAATAGTGTGATGTGCCCATATTGGAGACTACCTAATATATTATTTATTCTTATGGTATATTGTTTAATTAATTAATTAATAATTATTTCATGCCACACATAATATGAATACCTAATATTTACACACGGATATAATAATTTAATATAGAGGTAAATAAATATATATTTATCACTTTGTAGTTTGTAAGATATGGTCATTGTATCAATGTCACATAGAATAATATTACCTGGACTTCACTAAGCTTTAAGGAATTTGCTATTTCGGATCTTTCGGTTAGGCTTAGGTATTTTTTAGCCTGGAATTCTCGCTCCAATTCTAAAAGCTGACCACTTGTGAATGCTGTTCTTCTTCGGCGAGATTTGTTTTCATTTGAAGACTGCACAGTTATATTTTGTCTTGTTTGCAGAATGTCTGTATCATCTAGGCATTTCCCTAGAAATCGATTTGATATTTAAAAACATATTTATTGAAACTGCATGTTTGTTGTTTAATAGGTAATTTTCAATATGCGATTGTGTAGATAACGTACTTGGCATATGGAGCACAATGTTGTAGCCTTATAGCCCGCAAAAATCTAAAGATGCAAAAATAATTCTCCCAACCTCGTAATTTTTAAAAAATATTAATACAATTTTGTATTGCAATAGTAATAAATTTTAAATCAATACTAAAATTGAGAGACTGGAGCTTTACGCCAATATAATATAGTCGTTAAATAAGCAACTTAGACTACTGGATTGTTTACCTATATCTCATTCCTTGTGACATTGCTATTATAACATAACTAATTTTGTTCAATTAAATAATTTCTTAGTGGTTTTAATATTCAACTAAACTTCAAACAAATTGTGCACTTTATTTTGTAGACATTTTTCTCATTGGCTTTAAGGTACTTAATGCTTTTTATAATTCGTTATTGCGTTGTGGTCATTTAATTTTTGGATGGAAATAAAAAGTTTCATATAAATAAATATAATGAGTCTATTGATTAGTATTTGGGTGGCTATAATTTGCATATTATATTTTTGGAAAAAAAAATTTACTTTTGGCATGTTTTGAACAAAACATTGGCTTAAATATTAATTTGTACTAAATTAAATATTTAAATGTTGTTCAGTAATACAAGTATACTCATTTAGGCCGTTTTTATTGACATGTATAATTTTCATGATTGAAATAACCTCTGGAATTATATATTTTCTACAAGTTTTCTTAACTATAGGATTTATGAAAATTCGCTTATGATTTATATATGTATTATATATTTATACCTGAGTTAATGGCCTAATCATTAGTATATATGTATTTGTTTTTATTTTCATAAACTGAAATTAGCAGCTATCAAAGATCTTAATAATTAAAATGTATTTTTTTCCTAAAGAATGAGTTGCTATTAATTCCATTGCAGTATTCTGAACATTCTTCTTTATAATTTGTTGGGAAATAAACGTGGGAAATTTAGTACCATAATTTTATAGAAATAATAAGAAAAATGTCAATTTTTTATGCAATTTATTTTTTGCTCAAACTGTGCATCATTTTATCGACTAACTTGTCTTCTACAGAGATTACTGATTAGATGAAACAGAAGATTCCTATATTGAATTTACTAAATGGATAAAAACGAGTAGATATCTAACTTTGATATTAAATTATGAAAGCTATTCAGCATCTAAGTCACTCTTTTAGTCACATCTGCTGTCAATGAAAACATTTAAGTAATATGGCCATATTGTAGTAAATGGCCGGAAGACGGAAATGGGTGGTAAATGAAATCGAGGGAGTCATGGAATAGTTGACCATTTGTGGGAACATCGGGTGACCAAACTGCAGACTACAATTATATAATATCAGTTCAATAGACGTATTAGAGAAGTACCCGGGTAACTAGAAACTCGAACAGAAAATAATATAATGCATAATAATGCAATGTAGATGTTTAGTATTTAGTTTTAACTCATATTTTTCCAATCTTGTGTCAAAATAGAAATATTTTTATAAACATTAGCGAAATATTTTTTTTTTTATCAAAGTTAATATTTTTAAGTCTTAAACATTTTTAATAATAAATATGTAAGTTGCTTAAATTTAGTAGGTTTGTTACATAAGAATACGTATACATGTATATAAATATAATTCGATGTGTTATGTAAAATAAACATAATGTGGATGTAATTATTATTGCCAATAATACATACATAGTACATAAATATATGGTAGAATACAATGACAGAAGGAAGGAAATATTTTAATTAATTTATAAATTATATTTAATTAGTATCAATGAATCAATAATAATTTAAGCAATTACATTTAATATAGTAATTGTAAAGTCTTGTGCAATAACCGCAAATCTCCACTTTACACATCTTTTCAGGTGCCTGAAAAAATCGATTATATAATTCCAGATAAAGTTATATTTGTTTGAAAAATAGATTTCGATTCGTTAGATGTATAAAGCTGAGTATATGTAATCAAATAGTTTTATTCCAATTTAATAATGATAAAGTATCTATGCATATGAATATAAATTCGTTAAATTTGATTTTTAGCCAGGCCCGCTCTGACCTATTCAGCTACCTTTGTTCTACAAAAAAATTGCCGCCCCCCCCCCTCTCACTTGATCACTCAATATCATACCTCNAAGCTGAGTATATGTAATCAAATAGTTTTATTCCAATTTAATAATGATAAAGTATCTATGCATATGAATATAAATTCGTTAAATTTGATTTTTAGGCTTTTAGCAATAAGGGGGGGGGGGGAGAGAGAAAATGTTGAAAAAAAAGATTGCTGGTAAGAAGATTTGCAAAATTACCATAGACCTTAAACTACTAGACAAGTAATCGATCGCACAATTTCCCATCAATAAAATGCGAATACTTTAGTTTATTAATTTTTTTTTTTTGGAAATGATTTTTCATGTAAACTGAACATTTAAAATTTTTAACAGCCCCTGAGGTTCTTTAAACTTGAGCTTAAACGCCTTTAACAAGTATCTCGAAAATTCATACTAATGACACACTTATGTGGAAAACATTTTTCAAAATTCACATTTGGAGGGGGTAGCAAAATGCACGTCGCACCTGAATAAATCTTATTTGCAGTAACTCTATCATTTTAGTCTGCTTACTCTATGATAGCCATTCAATATATTATGGACTGATGATATGCTTGAATTATTATAACTTTGATCAAAAATCCTAGAAAATTGTATCAATTGTGCAACGGATGGTACGCCAAAGATTAATTCTTAAAATGTAATAATAAGTTAACTTATGATACGAGGGGAATTTATAATACAGGGGTGATAATATTATGCAACATACAATATTTTTAAACATTGGTGAAAAACCACGACGGTTTACGTAAAAGTGAGCAAGTATAACCTTTGCAATACTACTAATATACGGTTATATGGTTATATAAAAATAAAACGTGTCGGAAAACGCCATTGCCGGTATAGTCCCAATTAAATGTTTGAAACGTTGAAATTTGACATATTATAAGTTATTATAACCACTAACCAGTTATAATGCGCAGTTAATCTAGAAAGGGGTGCTTAAAATTACAAATAACTACAATATAACATACTCACCAAACCGCGGGTCGTCATCGACATCGTCTTCGTCGTCCTCGTCATCGTCGATGTCCTCAACATTGTCTCTTCCACCGCCTCCGCCACCGCCGCCGTAGTCGTCGTCGTAGCCTCCACCGCTATCCGGACCTCCATCGGCGACGACCGACGGGCAGGCGTTGGTCAAGTCACGATTGCCGGGGTCACCCGAGTCCGCGTCGTCGTCGGTAGCGGCGTCGCATCCGAAAACCGGCGGCGGGGACGGCCGGTTGCCGACATCGCGCAGTAATGACCGTCGGTAATCGTGATAACATAGGGGCGGGGGAGGTGGCGTTCCGGGAAATGTGACCGCGTCGCTCAAGTACGGCCACAGCGACTGCGGCGCGAACGATTTACCGACCGCGGCCGCGGCCGCGGCGGCCGACTGCAACCGCAACACGCTCAAATAATCAAAGTTCAACATCGAAGACGGTTCCACCGTTGACCGTTGCTGCAGTTGCATCGCGGCCGCGTCCAAATAGTACGGCGGTGGCGATATGGTAGCGTCAGCCGTTGGCGGAGGCGTCTCGCTGCCGCGGACGCAGCCGCCGCCGCCGATCAAAGATTCGATGGAGAACGACTGGAAAGCGGTTTGGTACTTGCGGCTTATTTCAGCCGCCTCGGGTTCGCTGCAGCCCGCGTCCGACAACGATCCGGCCGTCGACGCCGGTTGTACCGCGGTACGCGTACCAGCACGTTTGTCAGCCGTTGTCATGTCGGGCGGGTAGTTTTCTGCACAACATAATATTTTAGTCCACCGAGAAAATGTAATTTGTATGTATACAATAGGTATAATGTGATTCTATAATACGAGGTAGTGTGAAACAGTTTCATATTATAGATAATACTAATGTATAGAATTCTAAATTATAATAATAATTAATGTATGGGTACCCACTACTGATTTCTGTAATCGAAGTCTATCTTCTAATTGAATAATCAGGGCTGTCGCCCGTTAATGTTATGATTTCGCATAAATCGACCAAATTCAAAATTAGTGAGATACAAATTTGATTCAAGCAATCAAGTTATGGTAATGTAACAGGTATTCTAATAATTACAATATATTATTCTGTAGGTATATTTTGGACATAAGACGACGTGCGTATAAATGTAAATGAATGTTTTTTTCAACGTTTTTATGAATAATTTAGAAATATATTATAGACTTGGGCACTTGGCAAAATGTATTGTATAGGTACCCTTATGAATTATGTTATGATATTTTAGAGTAAAAAGTTTATTTGACATACGAGTACATTTAATTTTTTTTTAATTTCGTATTTCGTATTTTGTATTTTATATATTTCATTATGTAGGTAACTACATACATTTTTTTACACAACAATTTAATATTTTATTGGTATCATTCAACCTATGTTTACATTTATACGTATAATTCTGAATTTTTATTACTAAACCTAAGTTTATATTGAAGCAATGTTTTGAAATTTTTAGTGGATACATCCATATTTTTTACCATATAATAAGGAGTGCATTTTTGATTGTTATACCTTACATATAATACACTATATTCACATTCCTGATAATAATGTACCTATAGTATAATAGATTAAACATAAATCAGTAATTTTTAATTCCTAAATGTACATAAATAAAGAAAATATTTAAAGGAAGTGTGGTATATTAAATTTATATTATACGTTTAATGGTGTACCTAATAATAATAGTACGTCAGCTGCAGCTATCTGGGGTAAATATTGAAGCTTATATACATCGCAGAACATCAAACAATACTTGAACGTACATATGTATACATTTTTACGTTACAAAATGTTTTTTTTTCTAATGCGTATACTACGACGAACCCTGCGGAACACCGCATGATATCGCAGCGGAGTCGACGAAATAAGTGGTTATCAACCACAGTAGGTACATACTTTAGTTCACTTGTTTGTTGTTATTTAATGAGAATAATTAAATAATGTAATAGTTAAAATATAGTATATGGTATATGTATATGGTACGATAGGCATAAAGTGGTCCTCGTAGTTAACTTATACACTTTACGTAGTAAACAAAAAATAAAAATGCAATACATTTTTCAAAAACTAATCATATTTTTTTAAAGGTACAAATACATAAAGATAGATCTCTTTGCATTTGTATACAGTTAATAAGTGTACTTAATATGTAAATGCATGGTTGTAAGTAGTAAGTTTAAGGTTTATTTTATTTTTGATAACTTTTCTTATATCTATATTCTATATAGGTGCCATAATATTATGTCCTGCATTAAAGCATACATCATACTTAACTAAACAATAATAATAAGTAGTAAAGCATAGTATTATCTAATGTATTATAATAAATAATAATAAATAGCTATCTATAGTAGTATTATATAAAAGAAACATTGCTTATTTCTTTGGGTTATCTCTAGAACTACTGAACCGATAAAATAATTATTATGGTTGAATATAATTTTATTTAGACCTATATTTTATACTTGGCCGAAACCATCAAAATGAATGTGTTAAAAATCTTTAATAGAGATTAGATGGGATAAATCGACGGGCATTATCTAACGAAAAACGGTTTATTTCAGTATATTATAATGGTTGGATATACTAGATATAGTTTAAAATAATGTACTCACTACAAAAACATCAGTCATTAATAGATTTTAAAAAAGTCAGGGATACATTACAGTCGATACGCCTAGCTTTTTTATAAGCCATATAATAAAGTTATATTTTATGTTCAAAAAAAAGAAAATTACCTATTACGGGACCTTGAGGTTTACATAATATTATAGGCGTCATCTTTAAAAAAAACCCAGTCCTAAATACAAATAAATGTGAAACGTTATAACTAATGTGTTAAAAATAAAATAAAAATCGAAGTTATACCCCAATCTTTTATTTTTAATTTTGAACATTAGTAACGAATTTAACATAAAGTTTGAATCATACAAGTAGTGCCATTTTTTACGGGCAACAAAATGCACGGGGGAACGGCTATCTTCTAAATAAAAAATATATATATTCTATTATAAATACCTATATAACATATAAAATATACACTTACCTATATGTAGGTACCCTGTTGGGCTTAACCTAGTACAACTTTGAAACTTTAAAGTTAAAAATTATACTCTTACGTACGCACTTAGCGGGGTCTGCAATATGTCAGTATATCAAAAATCTACCTGACAATATACTGCTCACATAATCACAAGCTATATATAGTGTCATTGGTAACGCCAGGCGAGATGACTCTAATATAATATAATGGAACGTGTTCTGACTGACTCACTGACTGATGGAGAAACTAAACAATGATAGCTATTGACGCTTGCAATTTGTACAGTAGGTTCCTTCATATATCTATGTAAGTGTGCGCTAAGAAAGCATTTTCCAAAATTCACATTTTAAAGTGATACTTGCACAAGTGTTTTGTGATTCAAGATGATCGATGAAAATTTTTAAGTTTAAAGCATCGAATACACCCTACACCGAATATTAAATAACGAATTGAACAAAGTTTGAATCATATAAAATTGGCATTTTGAACTGAAGACGAAGTGCGCGGGGGTCAGCTTGTAATAAATAACTTGAAGTTGAAATTAATTTCATTATGAATATACATAAGGAATTAAAAATAATTATATATTTTAATACCTACATTTTAAGCAAAACTTAAAGACAAACGGATTTTGGAGATTTTTTTATAATAATCCGTAAAATAGATCTGTTTGTCTTAGTAGAGGTCTAATGATTTCGTCATGAAAGGGATAGAGAATATAAATATAGTTTATTTTTTAACATACGCTATTATTAAAATAATATAATTTATGGTTACTATGTTATGCCTTCTTATAAGTTGCAATAAATAAAGAAATAAGTTTATAGAGGAGAGAGAATCTATCATTCTCATTACCCCCCTTCATTTTACCACAACTGGCTAGTAGTTTGTCTTTTAGTTTTGCTTAAAATTAATTAAATTCTATTAATATTTTGAATTACCTAGGTACCTGTATTCATAATGAAAACCAATTTCAACATTATTTAAACATTATCATAACTTTATAATAATTTAAAAAAAAATAGATTGTTTGTCTTTTTGCGTTATAATAAATACTTATTTTTTAAATTATATAAATAAATAATAATAATGTACCTATATACACAATTTTAAAAGTTTATATATAAATACACAGTTATATCTTATAATACATAAAAGCGATATGGGCTAGTAGGTATCTCTACAATATAATATATATTATGTACCTGCTGAATAAAGCCACGAAACTTTCGCCGTGGTATAGGTAAAGTCTTCTGCACGGTACGGCAAGCACCAGTAGAACGCACTGAGGGTAAACTATTATTATTATTATTATTATTACGAACGATGTACAATGTTACAATGTATGTACCAGACACCCGCGGAGGAGTTCGCAAACGTCACTGACATGTGCAAAGAGCTTTTGAGAGAATTCGCGCAAACGGGACGGCGAAAGAGCCCACGCCCACCCTGAGCGGGTCGCTCGCAGCCATTGGTCGGCCGTCAAGGCCCAATATATTATTACGATATAGGTACCTACCAATATTATTATAATTATATTTATGTAGGTGGGCTTAAGTTATTTATACAGTTGAATATTATTATATATTATGCTCTAACGAAATTGTTGTCGCGGCGATGCGATGCTTCACGTTAAGATATTATAATCATATCTTGGACATTTTACGTACATCATATCTAACAAATATAGGTATGTCACCACCGTCTAATCGATTATAATATAATTGTTAGACAACATAATGATAAGTATATAGTGTATTGTGCAATATAATATATTTATAGTATAAGCAATTCTTCGGCAGTCGGGTATACGGAATTTATATTTTATTATAAACTTGCTGATCTCGTGGACTTCGTTGCCCGTTAAAAATGCCAAATCTATATGAGACTCGCTTGTGATATTGCGAGCAGTATATTATCAGGTATGCTAGGTGTGTATACTCTATATTAATAGGTAATAGGTAAATATATATATTTTTTTTTTTGATTGTAACACAGATGAGTGGCAACCCGTGGTAGGCAATGTGTAAAAATCCGATTTGATGTAAGTATGTTTAATGACGATTAACCAAGTGGCAACCATAAACAAAAAAAAAATACTAATTCATTACTACTAAATATATTTTTTTTCTCCTACAACCAATAGCAACCATTGATAAACAAACATTTTCTTCATAAATGTCAAAATCCCTGTTTGAGAAATCCTCCGAGTTGGACCTACCGGCTCCAAATGTGAATCGAAATCATCCAAGGAACCACTCACCCAAAAAATGTCATCGAAATTGGTCAAACCCTTTAGGCATACATAAAAGACATACAGACAGACCGAAATTCATTTTTGTATATCTATAATCAATATAGATAACATAAATCATTTTTTTAAATCGTTATTTTGGCCTCGGCATTTTTGGAGAGCCTATCCTTCAATAAAATGTATGTTTTTCTAGAATAAAGTTCTTACACAATAAAAAAAGGTATGCGTCTATGTGTATAAGTTCTTACACGGCAGAAAAAAATATTATTAAACATAATTATATTTAATTTTCATACGTTGTATAGTTCAATATAGGTACATAATAATATTCTACATAATATTATAAGTTAAAAATATCATAATGCACCTTAAATTAATTTTTTCGGACCTTAGTCTTACATCTTGTAACTGTTCAACGATTTAACATAAAACAAATCGCGCGCCGAACGTCATGTGGTCGCCCGTTACGTTCGACAAGGTCGCCAACCACGAGCCGAGGCCCAAAGGCCGGAGCGTCGTGGATTTTGTTATGCTTCACATTGTTACACGTCACAATCTATATGTTCTTTCACATATCTTCCCCTCCTTAACGACGCCGCCGCAATCCTGTAGACGTATTCGGTACTAAAGAGTGAAGGAGTTTCTCTTCGACATCAACACAAGTCACGGAAAACGGGAAATTCATCGTCAGAGTCATCACCGTTAACAATCAAAGCGCACTAGCCGCATCTGCCCGTCGTCGTCAACTATTGCTCCAGCTCCATCGGTCTGGTCTGACAAGGTCGAGCAAACACGCCAGCGACACTCGACACTGATCATGGGACCGTTCGTGAGAACTTTGTAGAAGTGACTGGTGGCCTAAAACTTGCATATCCGCACCCATTCGCCATCTCGTATCCTCTTCTCCTTGTTTATTATGTCTTCTGTCGGGCGTATCTCTTTTTTCTTCTTTAATTTTACCTATCTTGTATATTTTTGCTTATTATATATAGTTCTATTTTTTTATTTCGTTTGTCCTCCCCTTTTTTCGATTTAAAAATCATATAAATCAATTTTTAACAATATAACCACTTTCAGCTCTTTTTTTTAAATAACTTATCTCGTTTTATTTTAAATTCTTTGTTTCTCATTAAGGCAAGCGCGTTTTCCGCGACTTGTGTTATTGCCGAAGATAAACAGTCCACAGCTCGCAATAGGTCTTAGAGCCGGAGATGTCGACAGTATGAGGGTGACGCAAAAAAGGGGAGGATGCGTGAAAAAACACGGGAGGTGCCCTTTGATAAGTCATCCGCATACGTTCTCCGTTCTCCGACCACCTGCGGCCCGACGGGTTCTCGGGCGTAGCTCACTCGGTCGTCGTTGACGCGTGAGACCCCTGATGGCTCGGCAAGCGCCCAGCTGCAGTTACGTTACAGTCGCGTAAAGTGACGGACGACTGCATGGCGGCTAGAAGAGGTCAGGTCGATGGTACGTCTTCTGAAATCCGAGCTAAATCGATGTAAGTACTCGGATTTCGGAGACGGCTCGTCGCCACTTGAAACGTCAAACACTGCAAAACAAAAGGCCGGGCTCATCGGCTGGTACAACAACGTTCTAGTCGTCTTTCTTCTGCTGCATTGCGTCGCTTACAGGAGGCTCATCGTTACTCGAAAACTGCAGATCTCTGGCCAACAAACCAGCTGGCTGCTCCTCGCCGCGTTCGTCGTTGGCACCTTCCTGCGGCACTGCGACCGGTTCGTCGTCATGAATCGGATCGGTCTCAATGCACACAGACTCCCGAGATGACTCTGCGCAGGTCAAATACCAATACTCGTACCAGGGCCTCATACCCTCATCGTCATGACTGTCGTATTTGCCATTCGTAATCGGCACTATATTGCTCAGCATTGCGAGACGATCGCGCAGCAAATCGTCAATTTCATCTCCACTGTTATAGTAATATTCGTCGTTTGTAATGTGTATTATTATTATAGGTGCGCATAATATTATGAACTAAATTAACTTATCTTTCGACATGGAGACCAATAAATTCGAAAATCGCTCAGATATGGATGTCACATCGTTTATTATTAGCCAGCGAGTACCTAGCTCCGTCTTTGTTATTTCAGACCTCAGCTTTTAGCCAGCAGCATTAGCTAGAATTTACGTAGGTATGTGAGTTCCTGCACGATCTAAATAAAATTATTATGTATAATTATATTTCATTTTCATACACTTTAATATAATATTTCATGATAGAAAAAAAAATTATAATTAATTTAGTTTGTATACGTTTTAAATTTTAATACTTGTTACAAAAAAATTAACTACATTTCATGTAATAATCATTTATGAAATAATATTATATTGTATACAATAATAATATTTTTCTACCGTGTAGAAACTTGCATGTACATACCATATACGTACCTTTTTACCATGTAGAAACTTACACAATGCACCTTTTTCAAACGCATAAGAACTAAGATTTGTATTTTTTTTACCTTTTAGGACTCGTGTGAGAACTTAAATTCACCTAATAATATTGGCCCAATACGTCCGTATTAACCCAAACATTTGTTTAAATTTTTTATTCCGGTGTTTGAACACCCGTACACATATCCAGCACCCGAAACCAAAAACTCAAATAAATATTAATGGTTCAAAGCCCTGATTCTATGATATTTTTTGAATAATTTTGACATATTGCTGTAAAAGGCACATTATTATTATGCGTGTATTTAATATTCATACATTTTCTTTAGTGATATTTTGCTTGACTAATTTCGACATTTTGTACTTGTATTACTAATTAATAAGAACATATTACAATTTTAATTGTATGATTTTTAATTTGACTAAATGTACAAACTATGTATTTACATTTAACGACAACAATAAATCAAGTGGTTAGACATGGATTCTGTCAACTGTAAGTTAATACAAAGGTTATAGGCAATTATAGGTACAAAAATATAAAATAGGCACATTTATATTTTATATTAATTAGTATGTTATTAGGTAGGTAGGTTACAAGGTAACCAAATATTAATATGGCTAGTGCGTGTTTTAAAGTATATAATAAAATATAAATAATACTTTTATAATACTGGGTGCACAAATGCACAATGCACATATTGTATGATAAATATAATATTGTAGATAGGTCCGTAGGTGTATAGCACAGAATTGTTATTTCCTAATTACGTTGTACGCTCATCATGAGTCAAATATAATACTAAAACAATATTATTCATGGCACGTAAAAAATTATTACAATGTGGCATCTGTATATTTTATTAAAGCTACTTGGTCCAGTTACTATAGGTAAAATTACTATTATTACTATTTAATATTTATTTCTATTTTTAACTATTATAACACATTTTATTAACTTTTACATTTTTACAAGGTTTTCGTTACATTCAGTATGTATAATGTACTCTGCAGTACCTATATCTACCCACAAACTGCAGGACGAGGCAAAGGCCCTGTGCGCCTCTATTGTTGTACCTATATCGTCCTATCTAGGTACATCCATTATTCCAGTGCTTGAAGCCGAAAACATATTTTCGTTTTTGATCACCGGTATTAATTTTTCGACATCGATTTCGGTTTTTAACGGTTTTAACCGGAGTTCAAAATCTGTATCCAACGTCGGTTTCAAGTCCTGCATTATTCGATCATATCCTCGAGTTTTTCGAGGTGACAATAACCCAAGTTCAGTGCCCAAAACGAGCATTAATAATTATTATTATACGATAAAATATATAACATACAAAATATTCATATAGCGACGGCGGTGGCAGTGGCATGTATCGAGTCGTCGTGATCGCCCGCGCTTAAGTGTTCGACGACGACTCTTCCACGCCGACTTTTTTTTGTTGCATTTTCACCCCCTCCCCCCACCCCCGACTACCATCCCCCATTACAAAACCACAATCGCGACTTCCCCTCCAGTCCTCGTATACGCAGTTAGCACGCGCCACGGCCGCCGTTCCGGAGTTTCCGCTCGGTTGCGCGCGTTACATTCCCCGGGTGGTTGTCAATGCGTCAAACTATTACGCGTTTGACTCCATTAACTCGGCATTTGCATAATAAACTTGCCGCCGCCCGACGCATTTACA